TAAAATTTTTTTTTCAAAATCTGGAGCTAAGAGTCTAATGATGACCATAAATCCATTGTCCATTGTCAATTGTTGGAAAAAAAAACCCATCTGGGTCGTTAACATCCTTGAGGGAAGGAAATCAGCCGTCCTTACCTGGTCTGGCCTACATGTGACTCCAGACCCACAGCAATGTGGTTGACTCTTTACTGCCCTCTGGGCAATTAGGGGTGGGCAATAAATGCTGGCCTAGCCAGAGCTGCCCACATCCCATGAGTGAATAATAAAACTGGAATGAAGCATATGCATTGGTATGGGCCGCATGAGCCTGGATTGTGGTATATTCCTTTGAATTCATTCACAGGATGTGGGTATTGCTGGCTTGACAGCATTCATTGGCTATCCCTAATTACCATTGAGAGGTGGTGGTAAACTGCATTTTTTTTTAACTGATGCAGATTAGGGGCTAAAGTATACCCCTGATACTGTGCATTCTATTAATTGCACTGACAATAGGATTAAATATTAAAAGGTGAAAGTGGGAGAACGCTAGAACGTCTGGCTGAGAATAATGTGCTGTGGTAGGGTGTCAAGCATCTTTACATATGGGTGGAATTTTCGCTTCCCTGGTGTGGCATGAACAATGGCAAGAAATGATGGGGAGAATGAAAAAATAAGAAACTCAAGAAAACTGTTTCACATTTTCCCATCAAGCCTAAAATGGCAACTTTAGAATCTTGCTATTTAGAGGTGGCTATCTTACTGCTGTGTATTATTAAAACCCTAACACACCTTATTTAAATGCCACTTCCAATTCTCCTCTCCATCCACAAATAAACCAGGCAGCACAAGTTCCTGACATTTAATTCGGAGCAGGTACCTAGCAGCCTGAGTGAATGTCCCAGCTTTCATCTGACTGGTTCTTCACAATAGTGACCCTACAAGCTCTGGGGCTTCCAGCCTCACCGTGTCATTTTGCCTATTCTTGGACCAACTCTCATATCATTTCAGTCTTTCAATACTTTGCTTTGGAGCTGAGACACAGCAATAACTTGCATGTTTCTGTCAGGTCACATTGAGTGTAGCGACACACATGCATCTACACAGGATGCATCTTATAGCTGTCAGCCACTGAGAGACTACCTCTGTCTATTTCACATTACCTTCTTAGCGTTGGATCACAGACGTAAGCACTGACTTACGGGCAACAGCCTCTGTGTGACTCATTTTGCAGGCAGCTTGTCGTGGCGGGCAGCGCACGAATTGGCACAGTGCTATGCCAATGTCACACCTGCAGCACGTGCCAGCAGTTTATGTGGCAAACACACTGCATGTGCTTCAAACAACTGAGCATGAAAAAAACGCATTCACAGGTGTGGGTTTTCCTGGCCATTCCAGCATTTATTGGCTATCCATAATTACTGTTGAGAGGTGGTGGTGAGCTAATTTTTGTTTTAAACTGCTGCAGACCAGGGGGTATAGGTACACCCCATGATACTGTGAAAGTCGAAGGGGAGCAGTCCTTAGTGAGCTGAAGGGGTCTACAGTCAGTGAGGAGATACTGCCGCAGTCAGTCAAGGGATTTGTCCTATTCCAATCGAAGAGGTTAGCCATGATCATTTGGGCACTTAATCCTTCCACAGTATTGGGATCCATATCCTTGCAGTCCATGGATGGGGACACAGTAAGTTCTGCAGGTCAAGTGCAATTAGCCTAGGGATTACAAACTATCAGTCTGGAGTGTGGGCCAGTTTCCCTGTATTGAGACGAAGAGAGGGGTTGAACTTAATGGATGTAGGTGGAAGAGCAGGTGTGATAGTGAGGCTCATCCTCTGTGTGAGTAATACATGCAGAGGGCTGGAAGAGTTATTGGTTTGGGAGGATGAGATGGATCAGAGCTTTTGAGTGAAAGTTGTAGTCCATGAGCCTTGGTGCAAGATGTGTGCAGTGGCAGAGTTAGAATGAGTGGTGGTTCTGTCATTGACAGGTAGCAGAGTCTGACAACGTGGCTTTCTCTGGTGATTCACAGCAGATAGAACTACTGTCCCCTCCACCAGCTTTCCCATTCATACCTTCAGGTCTTTGTCCTGAAGCAGGGAGCAAGCTTACCTTTCTCTGGGGCCATGCCCTCAATGATAACAGTTAAGAGTACAAGTACCTGTGGCAATTCTCTGAGTACTTCAAGTATGTTTTTTTTTCGGCTAATGCATGTGTCACAGAAAAAGCAAGTGTTATTGCTCTGAATCAAATTACTTCAGAAATTCCAAAGTGACTCCATGCGTGCAAAATGCTGGCAACATCAGTTTCTGCTGATTTGGCTAATATTTTCTTGTTGCAAAATATTACCAGTGCCTCTTGAATTCCTGGTGTGTCCACAGTTTGAAATCAATAAAGAATATTAATGTTTATGCAAGCTGCTCATATTAAATGAAAACACAATTAATCCAGTCAGAGTCAAATGGACTTTAAAAATGGTGCAGTGGTGTGAATGTTGGAATGTCTGAGCCATAGTGAACACTTCCTCTTCTCCAGCAGCAAGATTCCTCCAGAAAGGCAACCAAGAGACAAGTTGCATAATTAATAAGACAAAAAGCAGAAGGTTATGTGAGAAAAGTTGCCCTGAGCCATAGCAAACAGTCCTGAAGTATGAGACTGACCGATTTCACTTGATAAAACACTTTAAATAAAAATAGGCAAATTCCTTGTGGAACTTCAATTTCCGGATTGTGATAGTAGCCTTACAATTTCAACTAATCCTTTGGCTGTTGAGAATATCCTGAATATGTAGCTACTTTTAACTTGTGCTGTCAAAATTCAAGTAATTGTGACAGTGAAATAGGTTCCAATATTATAAAGAATGAAGCTTCACAAATGATAAGTGGACGTTATTTTCTCCTTTATTAAAAATGATTGTGTTTGCTATGTGTTATACTGCAGATACAAGAGACTGATGTACCCAGCTGCTTTTATTCAAGAATGCTGCTATAGAACTGTCTCTCTTAATGGGGTAGGGCAAGAAATGACAGAAAATAACAGCACCAATAAATTATGCATGCCCACATTCTGCAACTGGGTTCACTCATAGCTACATTCAACCACATGCATCTTTAGATTACAAAGGAAAAGTGTTAAAGCAGCTGTAAATGACATTTATTCACTGGCATTCGGAAGAAATCCAATATCTACAGCCACATCTGACAAGCTGATTGTTGAGTGTGGGAAATGTCCTGCAATGTATAGCACACTGATTTGATAGTTACTGAGGATGGAGATTAAACCTCAAAGCGGTTGTGCAGACTAACCCAAGGCTGGGAAAACTAGCATTCGAAGTATGTTTAGGATTACCTCTAAAAGGAATTTTTTTTTTTGAACGCAAATAAGTGATACATTGAGAAGTTAACTGTTAATGCAAAAACAAATGGTGCAAAAGTGTATTCACACCGTTTTGCTGGGATATGTACATAGGGTTTTCACCAAATTATTAATGGGAACCTATCTGTTCTTGCTTATGAGCGTCAGAAAGAAAGAAAATGATGATTTAGGGACCAGAATCTTCCTAAGATAGTCACTGTCTATCCTTACCTTGTTTTGTTTCTAAATACACAACACCAGGACACTAATTTAATTGAAATGTGCTACACTGTCACTTTTGTGGGACATTATTGTTTATACACTGGGGAGGCGATGGCCTAGTGGTATTATTGCTGGACTGTTAATCCAGAGACCCAGATAATGTTCTGGGGACCTGAGTTCAAATCATGTCACAGCAGATGGTGGAATTTGAATTCAATAAATATCTGGAATTAACAGTCTAATGATGACCGTGAATCCATTGTCAATTGTCAGAAAAACCCATCTGGTTCACTTATGTCCTTTAGGGAAGGAAACTGCCACCCTTACCTGGTCTGGCCTACATGTGACTCCAGACCCACAGCAATGTGGTTGACTCTTAAATGCTGTGTGGGCAATTCGGGATGGGCAATAAATGCTGCCTAGCCAGCGATGCCCTCGTCCTGTGAATGAATAAAGAAAAAAAAATACGGGTGCAAGGCCTATTTGGCTTTACTTTCTTCCCAAAGGAGAAATACAATAATGAAGAGGGTGGCTTCTTAAACCCATGCAATCCAATTTTCTGGCCCTAACCGAGTTTGGGTTCTGATTGCTTACAAATGTGTGTGGAGTTTTATTTTCATATTTGCAACAGCTTTGATATGAAGATGTGGTGGTTCATATAATATCTTGTCCGATTTTATTTTCAAGAAGGCAGCACTTTTCAAGAGTTTGAGGAGTTAGAAGAACTGATTGCAAAGCAGTTAAGCGTACAAGTACCTCAGGCAATTCTCTGAGTACTTTTTTATATGTTTTCTTCAGCTAATGCCAATGTCACAGAAAAAAAAAACAAGTGTAACTTCCTCTGAATCAAATTACTTTAGAAATTCCAAAGTAACTCCATGTGGACAAAACACTGGCAACATCAGCTTCTGCTGATTTAGCTAATATTTTCTGGTTGCAAAATATAGCCAATGCCACTTGAATTTCTGGTGTGCCTGCAGTGTGAAATCAATAAAGAGTATTGATGTTTATGAAAGTTGCTCATACTTAATCAAAGCACAATTAACCCAGTCAAGAGTCAAATGAACTACATATTGTATTCAGTGCAAAGATATGGAAATAGGTTCAGCAAATTATGTACTTCTGTAAGATTTTGCTCACATTTTTGCCAAATTAATTTTCCTCTATTTGGAAGGAGAGAAAAGAAACAATTTCTTTGTATACATTTAAAAGGAAAATGGAGAAAAGCTCTGTCACTTTCTCCAGATTCTGACTAAAAATCTATCCGGCACTTTCTGAATTTCAACACTTTCTTCATAATGGCTGACTAAAAACCTGCAGTACTCATATGAATGAATTTGTCATTCAGACTGGATCGTCAGTTATTTTCATGTTAACATTCACTTGAAACTTGGACAGAAATGGTTCATCGCAACATAATTCTTTCTTGTCCCTTTTATATCTTGCAGGGAAGGAGATTGGTGGTTAGCCCGTTCCCTCGCTACAGGAAATACTGGATATATTCCCAGCAATTATGTTGCACCTTCTGACTCCATTCAGGCTGAAGAGTAAATAATTTGCTTTAGAAATGATAAACTGTGTTTTTGATTATTCAAAACAACGTTCTTCTGAAGAGAAAAATGCTTGTGAAACCTTGCATTAATATTTTATGATTAGATCCTGCTTTATTTCCATTGTTTTATAAAATGTGATGATGCAGTAAGCAGTCCCCTCCTCCTCCTTCAGCTGCTGGCTAGACATTTGGCAGAGACCAGGCTCTTCTGCTTATCTGAATTCTGGACTGGCTATATGATGCCTGTCTCTCTCCATCAATTCTGCCAGGACTACAGTGGCATTACTCCAGCATGAAATCTGCATTCTCCACTATGATGTCCTTTTAAATAGATAGCCATCTCGAATTGATGGAACTATTTCCACACATTTTATTTAACGTTAAACAGCATTGTTTGGCTTTCTAGATATAAGCAGATAATGTTGACTTCAATTCAACAAAATAGACACATAAAGGGGAATGTCAAGTTTTGTTTGATCTCATTCCCAACTCTCTTCAAAACACTAGTTCAGGCTGAGTTACGGGTGATGACCGCTGCTCAGATACCGCATCCAAATTGTCTTTCCTTATCTGGAAGCTGAGTAGGTTATTTAACTGGAAGGTGGGGGGAGGGGGGTGAAGAGTGGCCTCCGTGGCTGATTTCAATCACAATCCTCCCCGCCCACTTATCCACTGTACATTCCAGATGCAGAATAGTGGCATTCCTCAGCTGGCTTTCAGGTTTTATGGCTCTTTTATCCTAGTGACAGATTTGCAGGTCCAGATCAAACCTGCAATTCTGCTGGTACAGTAAAGAGTTGGATTTAAAAGCAGTGTAATCACAGGTTCTAGTTCAACTGGAGTCTCCACAAATCCAAATCAAATGGCACCAATATAAATAGACACATATATGTTATCAGATTTACCGCATAACATTAACATCTATTGCTTAAGCATTATGTTGATAGTGCAATGATAGTGTGAAGGTCAAACATTGAATAGCATTAATCTAATTAAACCCCATGGCAAAATTGGAAGTGTTATAGAGGTGGCTTTTCCTGATATGAAATATTGCATGTTAATAGGTTAGCTCTGTTTATAACAGCTTTAACAAATGTGGAGCTGAGCTATATTAAATCCACTGCCCAGGTTGAACTTGCTGGTGTTAGCTCTTGGGGAGCAGCAATGACTGTATGGAGGAATCAAACAAGGTTCATGCTCCTGGCTATTATTTCATGACTTTTGCTGCAAAGTGTGTATTTGTGAACTTCATGTGAGGTTTGGATTAGATGTGATGCTTCACCACTGTTATCTACGATGTACTGGGCTTCACACTGGATATTGCCTTTTTAGCAGGCAAGGCAACTGATGAAGTAGTTTCAAATCTGGTGACTCTTACCAGAACTGTTAGCAGCGAGAAAAAAAGTGGTATTTATGCTTAAGCCGAAGTGGAGGGGTAGACGGGAAAGAGGAGAGGTGAGTGGATATGTGGAGATAGAGCCCAGAGACCGAGAGATATGAAAGGGGTAGGTAAACAAGGAGATTATGACCCCAAGCTTTCAGTTGCCTGAAAACGCACCAACATGTTCCCACGCCAACATTTCTGTCATAGACCTGCTACAGTACTCCAGCAAGCCTCAGCACAATCTTGAAGAACAACATCTAATTTTCTGCTTGGGGACCCTGCAGCCTATAGGGCTCAACAACGAGTTCAATAACTTTATAGCCGGATACCATCCTTCCATGATTTTTACCCACCCCATACCCGGTCCTGTTCTGACATGGGTTGCTTTTAGCACAACCATACATTCCATATACTCCTGGGTGCGTTATCACATTATAGAGGTTCCATTAAGTACAGCTCAGCCATTTTTTTATAGCTTGCCCCTTCTATCCTGCTCTTCACCCTTATTATCACTTCTCCAGCTTTTCTTCTGTCCTGGCCTGCTATCATTATCTCCTTATTAACTTAGTCCTTTCATATCTCCCTCTGTGGGCTCTGTCTGCACCTAACCCCCATTCACCAACACCCCCCATCCTGCACTTTGGCTTCAGCATAAATACCATTTCTTCCTAGCTGTTAACAGTTCTAATGAATAGTCACCAGACTCGAAACATTAACTCTGCTTTCTTCCCACAGTTGCTGTCAGACCTGCTGGGTTTCTCCAGTGATTTCTGATTCTGATTCAGATCTCTTTCCTGTATGATTATGAAGAAGTACTGGGGTTGTGGATGTACAGGATCATTTAGAAAAATGAAAGTCCCTCAAAAAACCAGAAGAGGCATTTTGGCACATCAGAGGTTAAACACACAGCTCAGTAAGCTGCAGCTTTTCAGTGATACAAATACAGCAGGTTATTGGTGCCTGCTCTAGTGCTAGCCTTGGTGGTAGTGCAACAAGGACGTAGTGAGGGTATCTGCAGCACAGGTCCTCAGAATGGCAACGATTGAACGCTTCCTACGATGCTGGTGAAGACATTATAGTCTGATCTGTAGAGAGTAAAATTTATGCTCCAATATATTTCCAAATTATGTACAGAGACAGGCAACCTCCTGAATTATTGAAGTAGCTATTGCAGGGGGCATATGCATTATTGATGGTATGGGGGTCTGCTTGTAGGGCATGGATGGTCATTTTGACACACAGATGAGAGAGATGAGAACGTTCAGATCAATCTGTAAAATACAAAAAGAATTTAAATGGGTTTCAATGTTAAACAGGCAGCTTATGTTGTTGATGGCAGAATTGTGAAAATATGATACGGTGACATAGATAACGTGGGCCTATTAATACGCAAACACAACCACTGCCACCTCAGTGATTATCATAAGCAACTCAAAATCCATTGTTAAGTATTAACATTTACCCGATTTAATCATATCAGATTACTTTGCCCAAATTGCACAGACTATAGGTTAGAAAGCACAGGGCTAGATGCAGAAGGAGTAACAACTGGAGTTTCTGTCACCTTTTTAATATTGCAGCATTATCATATTTTGAATGAGAGAAATTACCACACTGCTCTACCCTAATCCCATTCCCAAGGAGATCTGGGGACATGACATGAAAAATGCAGGTAATATTGGGCTAAGGTACTACAGCTGACTTGGAGGTAGAGTAGAGTAGCTGGCACTTTAAAGAAGCTCAGATGCCTCATCACAAATAGTTTGATGCTTTGTAAAGTAATTATAAATGATTTTGATAGAACAAGAGGCTGTGGACTTGTCTTCCTCTGTTTATATCCTGAGGGACATCTCAAAGTGCTTCAGAGTTGGTGAATTATTTTTAAACTGTAGCAATTTTTATTATGTAGGTACATGTGGCAGCAGACACGTGAACAACAATGACCACAAATACGATTAGATTAATGGCCAGTTGATCATGTGGGTTAAAGGCTAAATGTTGGCCGAGACCTGACGCGAATAGCACTTATCTTGACTTTTGACCATATTAACAGGCAGAGCACTAGGTCAATGACTCATCTGAAAGACCACATCTCTGAAAATGCAGCACTCCTTGAGTACTGTGCTTAAATGTCATCTTAGATTATGTGCTTACATCTGGAGATGTACTTGGACGTAACATTTGGAAGATTGATTTTTTAAAAAAAATTACGCATGAAAGCCTGAAACTTCCCACGTACCAAATAGACTAAAAGCATCCCAAGCTTGGCGCCTCTGAAATGCATGCAGAGGATCATGAAAAAAAGTCATTCGGCCCATCTATCCCATTCATTCTGCACAATTAACTAAGGGATTAGCTGGCATATATCCTAGTGACTGCCTGGGAAGAGTCCTGAGAGGAAATTCTCCAATAACAAGGTTAATGGAAAAGCCAGTGTCCATACAAAGTGCAACTTGCCTTGCATAAAATTGCTGTTGACATTTTTGTTAACATAACAAATTTATGGACAGTAGTAGTATTACTGTTCTGAGAGAGAAAAAAAAATTCATACTCAAGAGAAATGTTTCCTGATTTAAAAAATAATTGCGAGAGCTAAGACCAGTATAACCTTAAAATTTAGTGGATAATGTGCTGTTTTTGAATAATCAATTATTCAATTATTGCTTATTAAAAGAAGCTTTGAATGGTTTCTGCTCATCGCTTAGAGATACTTTTGAATATGCAGCAAAATAGAGTGGAGGGGAGCAGGTTGGTTGTAAAAGTAATCAGTGAACATCATTCAATCCTGCTTTATCTCTGTTACTGCTGACACCTTGTTTTAGTGTTCTTCTGAGTAGGTTTGGTTCTGGCTAGTGAGTCAGCTTTAGGAAATGCATAGAAATTTTGTGTTTATGCTTAATTTCTCCAAATGATGGCCATTTTTATTGACTACTATTGTTTCAGGTGGTACTTTGGGAAGATTACTCGAAGAGAATCGGAGCGAATGTTACTAAGTCCTGAAAATCCTCGTGGTACCTTTTTGGTCAGGGAGAGTGAGACCACAAAAGGTAATTATCACTGAAAATTAAGTGAATTAAATTCCTTTTATCATCTGAATAAAGTGGATGCCTGATCTTTGCGTCCTACTAGCTCAGACTGTCACAATTGATTTTATTTTTGTTATGGCGTGGTACGCACAGCCCTTACGCATGAAATGTTTCAGCGCATTAATGTGCAATGGAACAAGTCAGTTTAAATCTGCAGTTTTCCACATGTCGGGTTTTTTGTCTTAACAATACCTTTAGGGAGCTGAACTGAAGTCAGTTGAAATCTATTCATCACTGAAGCTGAAAAATTGGAAGGGAGATTTCTGAAGGATGTTCTTGTACATCTATAACTGAGTGACTTAATGAAGAGGTTTTGGAGCAAGTCTTTTTAGCCTCTGAAATGGTATTATTCTTTGGGGTGATTGAAGGATGAGCAGCAAATATGGGTTGTTGCGCTGTCTGATTTCTCACTGGCTCAGAAGGGTTTCTCAACTCTCAATCTCAACCAGGACATGGCTTTTATTCAGTATCACAGGTTGAAGGTTTCAGCGTGCAGTAATTGGGCAAAAGGGTTGGCCATTCAATGCTCACTACGGACCAGTCATTATTTCAGAAAGAAAAGATTGGTGAAGCCAGTGATTAAACAGCCAACTGGTGACTGAAGCAATAAAATCCAACCTAGATGGGACAAAATGAAGCTGCATGGTCCTGAAGCGGTGGCTGTACTATTTTTGGAGATTGCCATGTTGTCTTTCCAGTAGCATCAATGTTTTGACAAATCGTTCTGCAACAAGCTGTGAGCAGTGCTCAACTACACCTGAAATTAGAGAATGAATCTCAATGAAATAGCTGCCAGTGAAGTTGAGGGGTCAAGGGAAGAGAGGAAGGCTGCAAATGAATTGATTTGTGCACAAATTTTCTGACTGTGTATGTGTGGCGTTGGGGGTGGGGTGGGGGGACGGGGTGGGTGGGTGGCGACAGTGGTTGTGTAGATTGCAGTTCACCGTTATTAACAATTGCAAGTCTGACTTTCAGTGGTTTACAACCTTGGTACTCGCAAGTAAACATTTCCAATTTGCTGCAACAATGTGAATTGCAATTTGTCTGAAGTGAATGAAAGTGCAGAGGAATTCTTTGTTCCCAAGCTCCTATGAGTAGTGTGCAAGAATGTAGGATGTGGAAAGTGGTGCCCTCAGGCTGTGTGTTGACAGCTTCTGTCCACCGCATTCCTTTTACATCAGTGTTCCTTTGTAAAGAGTAGATGTGCGTAATATAGTGATTAAATGAACAATGTTACACAGAAACTGTTCGCAGGAAAGAAACAAAAAGCTCTCCTGTCTTGACGCATAGAATGCATCCCATTTCTTATACTTTTATGTATCAATTTACAAACGACACAAAAAAAGCCATCTGGGACTTGAACTGTTCCGTTGGCTTCAGGATAGAGCTTTGAAATATTGTTGTAAGCAGCTTATCAACACAGCATCATGAGGGCAAAATTCATGGGAGGGAAACCCAGTTACACTCCATTCTTGATATTGCGCTACCATCTGATGCAACACAAAATTGATAGTTACAGCCAGGTGTCCTAAACAAAGTGGGTCTTATGTTTGAAGTGAAGGTATAACGGAGTTATGTTGGATGGAGCAACTGCAAAGAGTGTATAAGGATCACATTGCATTGATCTCACCATTGCAAGACCTTGTTTTAAAAATGTATCATTTTGAAGTTGAAAAACTTAGGTTTTGAAGCAACAATGCCATTGTTGAGTTGTGATTACAATAATGATATCATCCATTGAGAACAAAACGTACACCTCCAGCTTGTAACAATACTGAAGCCTTTTACATATCGAGCCCTGGGTAAAACTCTACATTCCTGGATTGGATTCAGAGGATTTGTTTTATCAAAATTAAACAGCTTGTTTCATTCAATAAAAAGCATAAGAAGTGAAAGGCCAAGGTCATTATTGAAAATGCTGAAGTTGTTTGTTAAGGTCGGACATCTGTATCTCAGAGAGAGGAATTGTGAGATACAGTCAGAATGAGAAATCCCACTGTGGCCAGAGGCAGAGCAGTGTGAAAAGTAGGTCACTGAATAGATAAAAGCTAGTTCTTTGGCACAGCACAACAGACAGACTTCAGATCCCAGCAGTACGTTAAATGATCAGAACGCATTAAGTACCACACACAAAACTGTAATCCTTCACTGTGTAAAATAGCTAAGTAAATCAGATAGTTAGTTAATTGGTTGTAGCATTGCAGCTTTATCTGCAGCTCAAGTAAATGGAGGATTTTCAGTCCAGTACTCAACGCTGCATTTCAGAAATAAATGTGGAAATTTGTTTTCATGCTGATTACTTACTGGTGTTAGCCTGCAAAATGAACAAAGAATGTTAAAATCATTAAAAGGACTGTCTGCAGAGGATAACTGATGAGGGCATTGAACCAGGAAACAAAGTCTTGGGGAATAAACTACAGAACACTTTTGTCATGTATAGGGAAATGGGAGTGCAGCTAATCCTGAGAGATCACTGGGGAAGCATCTGGTGAGAGATGGGGAGAAACTACTTAGTGCACGCAAAGATCAAACAGAGAGTGGTGCATGTACGGAACAGGCTGCTGGAGAATGTGGTTGAGGCAACATGTAAAAAAACATTCAGATAAGTACATGGATGAGAGGAGTTTAGAGGGATATGGATCAAATGCGGGCAATTGGAAGTAGATGAGTGGGCGCCTTAGTCAGCATAGACAGTTTGGGCCAAAGGGCCTGTTTCCATGCTGTGTTACTCTATGATTCTATCACCTTCAGTTTGAAAGTCATAGCATATTGTAGTGTGGGGGAGAAATGGGATGTGAAAAGGAGATGAAGTGTGAGGATACATTCATCTGCAATTGATTCAGCCACTTCATTCACTTCTAGCTCAGCAGTTTTCCATTGGGATCAGGACATGCAAGTTAGCTCCTGCCGTGCCCCACCTTGTGCTGCTGGGGTCGGTGTGCGGATGCTGTATATTTGGGTAATGTTGGTTGTTTGTACACTGTATTGTGTTCCAGCTTGGGATTTGACTTTGGGACCAGCAACAGTGTGAAGTGTGGGAAGATGAAGTGACACATGAATATAGCATATGAGTTCTGATTGAAAGACATTGTTGTCAATTTCTTTTCCTTTATTCATTTACGAGATGAGGGATTATTGCCCATCCCTCATTGCCCACTCGGCAGTTAAGAGTCAACCAAATTGCTGTGGGTCTGGAGTCACATGTAGGCCAGACCAGGTAAGGACTGCAGTTTCCTTACCTAAAGGGCACTAGTGAACCAGATGGGTTTTTCCAACAATCAGCAATGGATTCATGGTCATCATTAGACTCTTAATTCCAGATATTTTATTGAATTCAAATTTCACCATCTGCCGTGGCAGAATTCGAAGCCAGATTCCCAGAACATTATCTGGGTCTCTGGATTAACAGGCCAGCGATAATACCACTAGGCCATTGCCTCCCTGATGACGTTGATGATAATGTTGTAGTAATTTAAGGAATATCTGCAGTTCATGGAGTAGCTGGTAGGAAAAAAGAGGTTGAGGCTGTGCAATCATGTGAGGCTAGTAAACTAGTGTCACTGCTTCTAGATCCTCAGGATTAGACTCTAGCATTGACCTCCATGTTTAACTGCACACATTGCCTTTGGAATACATGTCTGGAAGGCCTCCAAACTCCAATGGATATAGGGGATCGTGACTATTTTTCACCAACCACCAGCTCATTCCATTCAAGAATGAGATGAGAAATGTTTTAATCTAAGAGGTTTATGACGCTTTGAAATTCTCTTCCTTACAGAGCAATGCGGGCAGGGTTACTGAATATTTTTAAGGCAGATGGAAATAGATTCTTAACTAACAAGGAAGTCAAAACTTATAGGGGACGGGTGGGAATGGAGCCGTCAGCCATAATCTTATTAAAAGGTGGAGCAGCCTCAAGAGCCTCCATCTTTGGAGCCTGCTGTTTGCCAAGTAGTCATTATTGTTTGCCACATCAGATTCACTTTTCACATGATTCCTAGCATGTGTTCCATTCGTAATGCACCGCCCCTTTAAGAAATGCAGTCTAAATATAAGCCATGTAAACTGGCAGTGCGTTAAATGTTGGGATCCTTGCTGATGCATGCTGCCAATTAACAGTGTGGTTTGTGTTGATTATACACAGCAATTATTCTAATAAGTAACCAGCACAGAGTTAGCTGCATTTCAATCAATGGGTGGAGGTTAATTACACATTGTGAAAGACATGCCCATTTTCAGGACCTATCCGATTTTTTTTCCTTTTCATTTGTGGGAGTTTAGTATCCATAGCTAATTGCCCTTGAGAAAGTGGTGGTGGTGAGCTGCTGCAGTCCTCCAGGTGTAGGTATAGCGATAGTAGTGTTAATGGGAGAGTTATAGAATCATAGGATCAGACAGTACAGAGGAGGTCCTTCAGCCAATCAAGTTTGTACCACTGAAGCTACTTTAAATCTATACTAGTCCCACGTTCCAGCACTTGGCCCATACCTTCGAATGTATTGACATTTCAAGTGCTCATCCAAGTAGCTTTTAAAGATTGTTGATATTGAAGGATTCGTTGAGTGTCATGCCATTGGACATTAAGGGGCAATAATTAGATGTACTTGTTGAAGATAGTCATTGACTAGCACTTGTCTGGTGCAAATATCACTTGGCATTTATCAGCCCAGGTGGTTATTGACCAAATCTTGTTGTTTATGGACAACACCTGAGGCATCGCGAATGTGCTGAATATTCTGCAGTAGTCAGCAAAATCCCCACTTTTGATCTTATGACTTTGGTAAGCCGATCAAGGGTTATGGGGATTTGGCAGGAGATTAGGGCGAAGAAACATATCAACCACAATCAAATGACAGAGTAGACTCGATGGGCTGAATAGCCTAATTCTACTCCAATAGCTTATGGCCTTATGATGGAGTGAAGATCACAGATGAAGCAGCTGAAGGTTATTGAGCCGAGGG